ATGCCAAAGGCTACTTATCTCTATGCTCTTAATTAATACTGACATAATGTAAAAATATAAGCAAAGCCTAATTAATTTCCCCACGAGAACATATGCATATATGTATACATAAGTGAGTGTACGTACATGTAATTATTATTTATATGTATGTATCCTCTGAACTTCCGCGCTTTATCCCATTTATGTATACAATTCTTGCACCTTCTTCGCCAAGTTTTAAGTGGTGGTAACTTTTAGCAGTTCTCACCCTTCCCCTAAAGGTCAAAGAGAAGGTCCAGCCCACGAAAGGGAACACTCCACGGGGAATGTACATCATGTACATGTGCATGTTTATATATATATATGTTTATATAAGACTACCAGTTAGTAGCCCCTCCACTTCGTGATCGCGCTTTCAAAGAAATAATAACAGCACGTGTCGCAGCGAATTATGCCAGTCGTTTTTACAAACACGGAAAGGAACGAACGGAGAAACCTATTCCCACCACCTGTAAAAAAAAAAAGAGAAGTAGAACAAAAATCGAATGTCCAGATATTCAAAATAAAGGCACATTTTTACAAATTTGAAGAGCTCATTTGTGGAAGTTTGTTAAAAGATGCTCATATCTTGACCATCCTGTCATAACAGAAGCGTAAAACTGGTTTCCCTTTTTTTATGTTCGCTCCATACCGAAAGGGTAGAGGAAATTGTGGCGAGTACATTTGCAACTTTCCCCCCCCCTACTTGCCTCCCTACACGCTGCACAAGTATTACTAATGTGTACATATGTGTATGCATAAGCTAAGATAGGAAAAAGCAGTTCATACCACGCGGAAGTAGCAGACACAGACGCATATTCAAGGTGAAGAGGTCAAAATGAATATTAGCGACTCGAACAAAGATGTCAATGATTCCAAGTCAGATAAAAGTACATCGTGGGTAAAATGGTTCAACAGTAGAGCCCTCAGCAATTTCCTAGTCGAGGTAGATAATGAGTACATTACAGATTCTTTTAATTTATACGGATTAAAATCGGAGATGCCCAATTTTAACCATTTATTGTCCATAGTAGCTGGAGACGCTCCTGATGAAGATGACGCTAAGAACGCATTTGGAAAGGATGCCGTCTGTTTATATTCATTAATCCACGCACGATTTATTACGACTCCCAAAGGGCTGTCATTAATGAAGGATAAGTATATCAAGGGCGATTTTGGAAGCTGCCCAAGAGTTAGTTGCTCTCGACATAATGTACTTCCAATTGGTCTGTTCGATCAAATTAAAATTGCAAAAGTCCATATTTATTGTCCACTGTGTCAAGAGATATACAAAATACATGAAGAGGAAAAAGTATATTTGGATGGTTCCTTTTTTGGGACATCCTTTCCTCATATACTTTTGCAAACCTATCCTTACTATGCTACTTTGAAAACTCCCTCTTACTGCACCTCCAAAATTTTCGGATTCAGTGTCTACCAAAATTTTACCAGAACGGAATATAAAATTGCCAAGGGGGAATTTGGGAAATTGTCTAGAGAAAATTTCCTTAAAAAAAATCCAAAGTATTTAAAAAAATTAAAGAAAGAAGAATTGCAAATTAAGGATACTTAAACGTGGCTAGATTTTTAACTATGAAAATCTACATTTAACGCCAATGTATTTTTTTTTTCATTTTTTCCACCTCCCATCAGTGGTTAAAAAAGTGTAATTAAAATTTTATTTGATTCTCCTTTTAAATGTATGTGTGCGTGTATGCCTTTGGGTATGTATATGCATAGGTTTATGTATAAACGTATTTACAAGGGCATACACATACACCTCAATCAACAAAACATATTACCCCCCCTCCGCTGAGTGGATGAATCCATCCGCATCCATCCCAGGCATGTGTTTCTGTTACTCCCTCTCCCTCCATTTTTTTTTTTTTTATATATGTTTTGTATCAATTGAATAAATAGAAAAAACACTTATTCCTATTTGTAAATATAAACGTTATATTTTTTAAAGCATATCTCAAGTTCACCAACATATGCTTATATGTATGCTTTTGTGACTTTACGTAAATATATGGAAAAAAAAAGAAGAAAACTAATTCGAAAACTAATTTTTGTAATAATACAATTAATAGTGTTAAAAAAAAAAAGAGGAAAATTGAATTCCTTTTTTATTCCTTACTGTTTCGTGTCCGTTCCAAAGTGGCCATATCATAATGCCGACTTTTTGCTAACGCTGCGTTGGTTTGTACTATTCATCGTTTTGCAATATTGATGCGAAGTTTTGGCTATCCCCATTACTGGTTTTCATGATATCCGTTTTTTTTTTCTTTATGTCACTAAAGTGGAAAGAAACATTATCGAGTTTTTTATTTTGTCCAATTTGTGAATAGGCTAACCGGCTGCAGCATTACCTTTTGCAGCTCACTTTGTACCTTAAAAGTGATACATAAAAAAAAAAGCATTTCACGATACCTTTCTAAGATAGGCACACCCTTACGCTGATATTGAAAAGGCAAAATTTTTTCCACTTATTGCAATTTTTATTTTGAACCAGAACAAACAAATAAAACCTTTTGTGAAAAGAAAAAGAAAAATTCATGACAGAACTTACACAACTGTTGGGGGGAAAAAAATGTGTCATTTATCCCAACGAATGAGCAGATACTCCCAGCCTCGCCTCTTCACGTACGGTTAAGCCGAATCTACTAAACTAATGGTCATGACTCTGTGCGTGTATAGAACAAAACACTCGCTCGCGTGCTACTAACTTTTACATGTGTGTGAATCCCTACATTTGAACATTTTCACGCTTGATCATTTGCACATTTATCAAAATAACGTACCTCTTAACAACGTTACCCTCACGCAAAGAAATAACCGCACTATATGTTCCAGCACCACAATAAAAGAGACCTTTTATTCACCCTTAAAATCTATGTGGCCTACAGGGATGCACCAAATAGACGCGCCAATTCTACTTCAGAATAACGCTGAGATGTGCACCACGCAATGATATTTACTTTTGTGCTAACACTCATTTCTTTGTTTGCTCTCACATGTATTATGTGTACCACTTTCAACCCTGTGCGCACTTTTCGACATGGTAGTGGCATTAATACAGTCCCCTCCGTGGGAATTTTTTTCCTTTTTTTGCTTCCATCTCTGCTCCCTTTTTTGGCTTCCTTTTGATCTTTTCCTTTTATGTTTCTTTTTTCCCTCACCTTCGCTTGCGAACAGATCCCTACATATTTGTGCAAGCACGGGCACAAAAATAAATCAACATGTTTACATAAAATTAACCCAACAGTGGCGCATATTTTACTAATTCTCGTGGCGCACGCCGACCCCATGCGAATCTTATCTGTGTCGTCACATGTGAATAAAAACGAAATCGTAAACGTGATGAAAAAAGTGCACACATTTTTGAAGTTTATTTTATAATTAGGACCCTGGCTAATTAAAGCATAAAAAAAAAACGTAGAACTGAAAGGAGCTAGCTCCTATTTGCATATTGCACAAAATTGTTAACAAAATAAGCAGTTCAATCCCTCCATCGAAAGAAACTCCTTTCTTCAAATTTAAATGGAAATTTTTCACTTATAATTTTTTAAAAATATCCGTTACTTAGCGTAAAAAAATATATCAAGTCGCGCCAGTTTCATAACATAAAAAAATGTGTGCCGAGAAAAGCTTACAAGGGGGGGAAATAAAAAAGAATTGAAAAAACGAAAAGGCAAGGTGAGAAGGAGGAACACGTAAAACATGTACGCTCGCACGTATGTACATACATATGCATATACATACATATACACTCATTTGCATACCTATTCTTATAACGAATGAACCAAATTGACACCCAGGAATGCATGTAGAAAGGATGTAGTTTCGTGAAAAATTGCTGCATGCGACTGTAACCAGGTTTCCAACCCCTTTCAGCGCGCAGTGTGCCTGCCGCCTAATATGTGAAATGAAAGCGTGCACGTCTGAGTGTGGGAATAAACGCCAGAATAATTGTGCCTATATGTGGGCCTATATACGAGTAACTATACTTATACCTATGCGCATACCTATACGTGTGCGCGGGTCGCACGTAAACATCTTCCCAAGTGTACGCAGGAGGCACGCGCGAGTACGCTTAATTGCACGAAGGCAGTGCCACGTGAAGGACATCCAAACGTTGGTATACACGCATATCGCAGGGACGTTTCATCCACGTTATGGTGACTCACGTGCGCTTAAAAAATAGAAGATTGCACCAGCACATCATCCTTATATATTAAAAAAAAAATGTGGCAAAATAAAAATGTAGTATGTACATACTTTATAGAAAAAATAAAAGCTCCTTATGGGAAAAAAAGATATATTAAGCAGTGGACGAATAAAACAAAGAAATGAACAAGCGACAAAACGAGCATGCTAACAAACGAACGCGCGACCAAATGAGGAAATGTATAACGCAGTATATTGCAAAAAAAAATTGTTTTTAAGATTTATTTTGCATTGCTGTATTTTACGCTCATATAGAAGATAAAAAAGCGCACCATATTTTTTACAGAGTTTGCAAAAACCCTGCGTACATATTTTCGACAAGAAAACAGTATCGCGCCAACACACAAAATTGAGAGAAGGGCAAAAAAGGAAAGATTTTAAAAGAAGGGATACATGCATATATGCATACGTGTACATCTTCATGCATGTACATCTTCTACGTGCACATCTTCATACGTCCATATGTTTACGCCGCATGCTTGCACATAAACTGGCAGGTACATACAGGCATAAACTCTTACATACGTATGTACGCACATATATGCACCCGTCCCCACTTGTACTCGCACTGAGGCACATTCCAAATTATACCTACACGCGCGGGTATATATTGTAAGCCTACAAATAAAGAGAAGAAGGTTGAGAGAAGAGAAGGCGAATAAGGAAAGAGGCGCTGCGAAAATATATAACTTGCCCGATACCACATTATACAATATACAGTATAGGTAGAGGAAAAACAAAACATGTGCTAGAAAATGAATAAGAATTTCAACATAAATGTTCAGGTGGACAATGCGTTCCTCAGTGAACACGAGGTTGAGGTGAATGGTTATTTCGCGAAATTGTACACGGGGGAAATTACAGTGGACACGATGATAGATATCATGAAGAGCTTGTCATGTTCCCCAAAAGGGTCCAAAAATAATGATGTGTATAAATCAATGTTATTAATTTTGTTTAATGAGTGTAAGTTCTTCCCAAAATATCCGTCAGAAGAGCTGGACACTACTGCACAGCTATTTGGGAAGTTAGTAAAGCACAACTTATTGCTATCCTATGGAAATACCTTGGCTGTTGCATTGAAGTGCATTCTGGAAGCTTTTAAAAAAGGAAATGATTCTAAAATGTTCAATTTTGGAATTACGGCCTTAGAACAGTTTGAAGATTCTCTAATATGTTACCCTAGTTTTTTGTCTTCCTTGATAGCGGTTACTACCTTAAGGCAGTACAACCCGCAATACGTCATTCATTGCAGTAATTTATTGAACACCCTTCCAGAGCACTTCAGAAGTTTACCTTACATAGATGCCTCTACAATAGCAAAAATAAAACACCTCGCAGAAATTGGTGCAAACAGTAGCACAACCGATGCGAATATGTCTCAGGCGTCTAATGATGACGTAAAAAAAGTCTCAACCCATAATGCAAACAATTTGAAAAATGTAAATAATTTAATTCCCTCCATGGGGATAACCACGGGTAGCGGCCTTGTTGACAATACAAATGTAAGTAACAACGTCGGCGGCGCCAGCGGCTGCAGCAGTAACAACAATAACGGCGCCATCGCCAACGCGCTAAACAGTATGCTCAAGGGGAACAGCGGTAATAGCACCAACCTAACTAATGACAACGTGCTATCCTACATCAGTGACATTTTACCAAACAACTCAAGCCTTGTTCACAACAACCCACATCTGCAGTCCAGTTTGCAGTCCAATCTGCAAGCCAGCCAGAACACCAATCCACACACCCTAGGTAGAACTGATCATGTTTTAAAAAATAAAAACATAAACGATAACCTAAACGGTAGCTTTAACGTAAACATAAACAGCTTATCCTCCCCCGCTAAACACCAGAACGTCACTACCAATGTGAACCTGGTAAACGGTGATAAGCCAAGCACCCCTTTTGGGGCCATGAATCAGTTATATGCCAATCGGTCCTACGTATCTCCAAATGGAAGCAACCAAGTTAACCGAATTTTAATCACCCAAGGCAACCCGTTCAACCTTGGGGGTAGGGAAATTGTCTCCCTCAGTAATTCTTCCATTGTCAGTGAGCAGGCAGGAGAAATCGGAATGAGCAGTGTGCCCGATGGGATCAAACGCCCGAATGTTAATCTGAATGGCGATAACGGTGACGGCATCAGCATGGGCATTGGGAACAACCTCGCAAGTGGCAACCCGCTCAGCAGTAGGGACAAAGAGGAGCAGTTGTGCCCAATAATGGAATCGTTCTACGATCGAATCCAGGTAAAGCTACCACCTAATTTGAGCCTAAACAACATCGGGGGGTTCGGATTAGGCCAAATAGAATGCCTAATGGACAACACCGATTTAACTAAAAATATTATTGTACCATCGTCCCTAATAATAGGCGAAGTGTTTAGCATTTTTAACACCCTCTGCTCATTCAATATTGATGAGAAAATTAAAATATTAAAAGAAGTCATGCAGCCAGAGCACTACAGCTGGCTAGCCTTTTACATTGTCAAATCCAGGGCCTCCAAGGAAGTAAACCTCCACGAAGTATTCCTGGAGTTTATTGATAAACTAAGCTATCCTATGCTTATCGACACCATCATCAATATGACCTACGACTGCATACTCATCCTGTTCAAATACATAAACGAATTGAGAGAAGTTAGTGCATTTAAAACAGTTCTCAAAAATTTAGGCTCCTGGTTAGGGTTCATAACCCTAGGGAGAAATAGACCCCTAAAATCGAAAATATTAGATTTAAAGTTAGTTCTATTTGAAGCCTACGAAAAAGGCTGCCTAGTTTGCATATTACCAATGGTATGCAGAATTTTAGAATCTATAAAACTGTCTAAAAATTTTAAGCCCCCCAATCCGTGGACCACAACTATGCTATGCTTACTAACCGAAATTCATGAACTCCCAAATGTGAAGACGTACACAATATTTGAGGTAGAAATTCTGTTTAAAAATCTGGCCTTAGATATTCATGCCTTCCAGAATAAAACCACCTTACTGAGTAAGCGGAGTGTCGCACAAAGTAAGAAAAGTGAGTTGCTCATGCCAAAAGGTGGTGACAACAACCAGGACAATAGCACCGCCTTACCTGTAAGTGAGGACCCGAAGAATCTCCCACGCAGAGAAGGCCTAACAAGTGTTATTAATAGTCATATAGGTAGAGTAGAAGGTGGATTGACTTTGAACCCCAGACTGGAAGAGTTGGAAAATGCCGCAAATATTACCGCCAGGGACATACCGAGTAGTTTGCCGAATAATACGCGACCGAGTTCGAGGATCATCCCAGAAAAAGTGGAGATAACTAGACGAAACAATAACCTTCCAAGTTATAACGTTGATTATGTCAATTCCGAATGGAGCAAAGATGATGCCATCAGAATTGATGCCCTGACAAGTGACATGACGTTAGTTTCCACCTTTCCCCCACCAGATATGAATCTAATAAATTCTAGCTACCCCAAAAAGGTGACTGCTAGCGGAGTTACAAAAGTAAATGCTATGGGTGAGCAATACGCCCCCAATGTGAGCTATGCCACTAGTGCCAACTATGACGGTAGTGCCCGCTATATCGGTAATGTCAGCTATATCGGCAATGCCAGCCATATCGGTAATGCCAACGATTATGATAACAACGCTAAATACTATGACAAGGGCGCCGACTACTTCGACGGCACTGCCAACTACTACGACACTAACGACAATATGGACACCCCAGACATTTCCATCGACAGCAATTTAATTAATAACAAAATTAATAGTAGTAAGTTTTTGCAGAGCCTGAACAATGCAGTGATTATATCTTCCTCCATAGCCCTTTTTCAAATCCAGCCGGGTTTAAAAAGCTTAGTTACTATAGCGTTTTATCAAGCCATTAGGGAAATCATCGCAGCTATATTAGACCGATCTGTAGCTATATCCTGTGTTACAACGAGGGAAATTGTGTGCAAAGATTTCTGCCTAGAAAGGGATGAAACTCTAATTCGGAAAGCGGCCCATATTATGATTTCCTCCCTAGCTGGTTCGTTAGCCCTAGTTACGTGTAAAGAACCTCTGCGTATTTCTCTAACGCACCATTTAAGACATTGGCTAGAAAAAACAAGCACGAAGGATTGCAACGACCAGGTTTTAATTGAACAAGTAGTTCAAATTCTAAGTGCAGATAACCTAGAATTAGGTTGCAGTCTCGTCGAACAGGCAGTCATTGAAAAAGCTATCAAAGATATTAATGAAGCATTGGAACCTACTCTTTTATCCAGACAAGTAGCCAAAGAAAATAGAATCCCTCTTAATGATCCCATTCATCTTATGAAGACGAAAAAATTGCAGCTAGAAATCGCTCACTATCTAAAGTTAGGATCGCCTGTGACGAATAATCAGCTGCAAATATATAAAGACTTCCTAAACATAGCCCCGCTGAAAAAATTACATGCCGCTGCCAAAGCGCTGACGAAAATATACACAAAAGTGAACGATGTGAATGTAGAGAATAATCAACAAGGAGGTGGAACCCTCATGCATGCACTCTTCTCAAATTCGAACTTACAGAAGAAGGAGGAAAAAGTGGACTATCCAAAAAATATAAACGAGGAGAAGAGAACAGTTAATGAGCCCCCAATTGGAATACCAAAAAGTGATCCCACGGTACCCAGAAACACCAACAAGGATTACAATATAAATGATGGTGTAAAGACTGAGAAAATTGTAAACAGCGCGAAACGGAACGCGAATGTAAGTACCCTCTCCCAATCCACTTCACCCTCTGCAGTCTCGCTAGCCACAAATTCGCAGCTGCATAGGATTCTGAACAAATTAGAACTTGCGACTAACCAACTGAAAGATGCCATTAAGGACATCCTCATCTTACCCCCCATATTGTTTAACATAAATAAAGAAAAGCCTTCCGACAATATAAACAAAATGAGTCTCCACATTTTGTATAGCCTGTCCGTGGATGGAAGCATATTTAACCTAATTAAATCCATCCCAGAAATAGCAGCGCTAACACAACATAAAAACGAGACCATCATTTCATACTCGAACAGAATTTATAAATTCCTTTTTGAGGTTATCCCCCCTAACAGTAACAAGACACCTTGGGTTTATCGATCCAATGACCCGTCTGGAATATACTTGGAAGTATTTCTATGCATCCTGGAAAAGCTAAAAAAGAAATGCCCCTCGTTAAAAGAACACATAACGAATTTTATAATGTCGGATGATTCTTCGTCCCCCTCGAATGACAACTCACCAAGTTGTAGTAAGCCCCTTTTTTCCGCATCAAACGTGGTGAAGGAGAAAGAATCATCAGACGATGTAACAAAACTGGGAAGCGAATTTTCCTCTACCACGAATAGCAACTCAAATCAGGGTGGCCACCAAAATAAGAACGAGTCAGAAGCAAAGTGTCACAATAAAGGAGTGCCCAAACTAAATGCAAATGTGATAGCTGGCTTCATAAGGTACAACCTGGTCGACATGCAGAAATATAAATATTACCTAGTAAGGCAGCTCAGCACCAACATGTCTAGCATCAATGCCAATGCAGAGTTTGTCACCCTGGTGTTGAAAAAAATTTTAATCGACTTCCAAATTTTCAGATACGACGATTTTGAAAACATATTTATCATTTTAAATAACCTGAAGGAGCAAAACATTCTGACCAACAAAATTATTTTTTTCAACGATTCCCCCCCAATTGATACCAACGTCGCCATCGAAATGTTAACTGAAGAGGCCAAAAAGATTCAAGGAAAAAAAGATGCTGTCATTTTTTCAGACCTGCTACACGTTTATGAGGAATATTTAAAAAGTGATGATGAGCATGACGAGGAGCAGGATCAAGAGGTGTCCAGAGGTGCCGACACAGATCAGATGACGCTGCGAATGGGGATGGACAGGAATGTCACCGATGCGGACTGTAAAAAGGGACAACTGCAAAGGAACCAAGTGGAAAATGGTAGAAATTCACAACACGCGCAGGGTGAAAGTGAGGAAAGGGGGGAGCATGGGCTGTATTACTCAAATGAGACACTAAATGGAAAAGAAGCGAAAGAAAACACATTCGAATTGAAATGCACAAGGACAAATAACAACTTCCATCTGAACCAAATAAAAAAAAGCGAGTTGCTGAAAAACCCACTGGAATATTTTAAAAGAGGATATAATCAGTTAAGTGAAGACCTTTTAAGCGCCCTAATTGATGAACAGAATTTCGATAAAATTCAAGATGAGCTAAAGAGCGTCGACAACTTTGGTCTCCTAGACATGGAGGGGATCAGGATGCAGACAGGTGAAGATGTGCGCCTGCACGAGAGAGGCGAAAAGGCCAAGTCAGCCCTCAGTACGCGCACCAGCACCAGCAATAAGAGCAACGCGGACGGAATCGTGATAAGTAAGAGGAACCAGGAAAACAAAGCAAATGCGCAGCCTTGCCACTCCAAGCGACAGGCCAAGAGGGAATACAAGAAAAATCTAAAAATTTTAATGGATCCAGAATACATAACCACCCTGACGCAGATAATCGATTTCTGCCTGAACATGGACTGGAATATACTGCAGAAAAAAAAAAATAATAAATATTTCAAAGACAAAGGGGTGGGAGGCATCAGAGTAGTTCCAAAACCGCAGAAAATTCCAAAACAACATGAACAGATCATTAGTATTTTTTTTTTTCAGTGGATAAAATTAATCAACCTTAAGAATGTGGATAACCCTAACCAGAGTTATGTTAAATTTTTTCAAAACATATCCAACCAAGGATTGCTACGAATCGATAACAACACGGATAATTTCTTTGCCGTGTGCATTTATAAAGCTGTGGAAGGAGGGACCTGTATTAGCACCGTCAACTCCAGTGGGCCCATCGTGGAAAGGGGGAAAACCATCAACGTGTTAGATAATGCCCACAGTGCAAATGGAAACATTGGGTTGGATTATCCAGCCGCTACAAATTGTGCGCAGCAAAACAATGACACTTCGCTAACGTCACAGAAGAGAGAATTCCCAAATGAAACAAGCGATCCCATCCAAGGGGGCCCAACAGAAGGGGACAATAATAAACCGAACGGAGCATGCCTCCCCAGTGGCGAAACTAAAATCGATGGAGCACACGAAGAATCATCCCACTTGTACAAAAACAAAGTGACGAACAAAAATGCAGAAGAGGGCACACAACGGTTTGACAAAAATGGCAGACTAGCAGAACAAAGTAGTAGCGACGAAACAAAAGAACCAAGAGCAAAAAATAACAACAGCAGTAAATGTTCCCAAGTTTCTGATGAAAATCGTTCCTACATAGAATCAACAAACTTAACTTTTTATTCCAATATGTCCAGTTATGGCCAGTCTCATTCAGATGACGAAGAAGAATTCTACCTTGACCCTTTATTAAGAAAGCAGAGAATGACAAGACAAATGCAAGTAAAAAAAAGCGAAATGTTGAGGAACTTATCTTCTGCCATCAATGGATCGGCGGACGTCGACTTTGTGTCAAACTCGGATAAAAAATTTAACAAATCGGAGACCCATTTCGAGATGAAGAGGAGGAACAATGATGGTAGTCGAAATGAAATGGCGTCCCATTTGAAGGGCATTTATAAAGACGGAAGTCAGGTCGAGTCGGACGGGGAAGAAGTTGAGGAAGACGAAACGGAAGAGGCGGAAGAAACGGAGGATGAACTGCATGAGGAGTTAGACGAAGTAGAAGTGGATGATGAAGTTGAAGGGGAGGAAGCAGAAGTGGATGAGCTAGATTCGTACGAGCTAGAAGCAGACGATGTGGGAGAGATGGACGAGGAGGAAGAGTCGGGAGAGGAAAACCACAGGAACGACGCAGATGAAGAGGAGAACCAGGGCGAGGAAGATGATGTGGTGGTGCAGAACGACGAGGAAGGTGAAACGCAAATTGAAAGCGACGAGGGAGACGAAACGGAGGCTGAGGAGGACGAAGCGAATGAAACAGACGAGGAGGACGAAACGGAGATCGACGATGGCTATCACGGAAGTGAGAATTACGAGGTGGAGGAAGAACAGCAGCAGTGGCAACAGTTAGAGGAGGGCAAGGAAGAATCCGACGAGGTAGAAACCAGCGAGGATGTAGCCGACGAGGTAGAAGCCAGCGAGGATGAAGTCGACGTGGAAAATACGCACAACAATGGTGAGAGCGACGATGAGGACGTCCACCACTACCACTGCGACATGCGCGACCGCTGCGCCTACGGACAGCCAGGGGGGGGCAACAAAACCGGAGCTGCCACATCTAGTGCAGAACAGCCTGCGAGACTGGAAGGAAATTCCCAGTTGAACGACGCGATTGACACTCTGTCTCTCGATGGCCTGGCGAAAATGATCATCTGTATGATGAAGCTAGTCGACACGCAGCAAATTTCGCCATTTATTCTGTTTCAAAAGGTGATGAACGTATTTTGTAGAATCGTAGTGATGGAGTCGAGAAGGAAAAAAAGGAACTTCAACCAAAGACCATACTTTCGCCTCTTCCTATCTATCCTAGTGGAAATAAATAAAAACGAGAAATACTTTGAGCAGTCGTACAATAAGTTAATCCTAGCCCTGGGATATTATTTGTGTATTCTGAATCCATTACGAGTACCGACATTTATCTTCGCCTGGCTAGAATTGATTAGCCACAAATTGTTTCTACCAAAAATATTGAAAACGTCCAAGGGATGGTGTATATACAACAAGCTACTAATCTACTTGTTAGAATTTCTGTACGTGTTTCTAAAGAATGCATATCTAACCCCCCCCATAAAAATACTTTACAGAGGGACACTTCGAATGCTGCTAATTTTGCTGCACGATTTTCCAGAGTTCCTTTGTGTATACAATTTCTCATTTTGTAACTCCATCCCGTTAAATTGTGTCCAGTTGAGGAATCTAATCCTGTCGGCTTTTCCAAGGAATCTTAAACTGCCCCATCCGTTTTATCCCAATTTGAAAGTAGACCTCCTACCAGAAATGAAGGTAGTCCCAGTTATCCTAAACAACTTCACATTTATTCTAATTGACTATAACATAAAGAAGGACATCGATGATTATTTCGTCACCAGAAATGCTACATGCTTAAAAAAAATTCATCAAAAATTGCTTGTCAGAAATAAAATGAAAGCTTTATATTTGAAAACCAAGTACAACATAGCATTGATAAATGCCCTCGTGTTATATATTGGTATGTCCCTTCCTTCGCAAATTCTAATGATTGACAAAGTTTCAGAGTCCCATCCTGCATTGGAAATAATCCTACATCTGACTTATAAGTTAGACATGGAAGGGAGATATTATTTGCTCTCCTCCATCGCCAACCATTTGAGATACCCCAATGCACACACTCACTACTTTTCTTGTCTCCTTCTCTGGATTTTTAACATTTCCAAGATGGAAATTGTAAATGAACAAATTACTGGGATTTTGCTAGAGAGACTAATAGTTCATAGACCTCACCCCTGGGGACTACTCATTACCTTCATTGAGCTTATTAAAAATCCCATCTTTAAATTCTGGCAGTGTTCCTTTGTGCATGTTAACTCGGACATAGAAAAATTGTTTCAATCCATAGCGCACTCGTGTCTTGTCAACCAGATGGAGCACATCAACGGAGTCAACACAGTTGGAGCAGATGGGGCAGTTAGCGCAGTTATCGCAGCTAGTGGCACCAATCAGGGAACCCACCACTCCCACACAACGAGCGATGTGAATCCGACCAATGCGAGGAATCTTCACCCCTGTAACGACAGGATCAACGCAGACTTGAAAATGTTTACCCTACCAAATGAGCCCAATTCGAATAAAATAATGTCCAATGCTCATCACCAGAAGCAAGGCAGCAACACTAGCAGCAGTATCCCAAATGGATACACCCAAAAAAATGAGCACACTGTAAATGGAAATATTGGCATGAGTAACCACCTTGCCCATGGAACTAACGATGATCATTTCAGGAAAGCAATAAGTGGCGACCATCTAAATGACTACACAGCAAAAGGTAACGTCTACCCTGGTGCATTTGAACAAACCCCCAGGGTTCATCCCAATGTGTTAAGAAGTTACATCAATTACAATGAGAGCAATTCGATCGAGACGGATAATTATAGCCTCTCCAATAATCGTATCGTTCAGAGGAATCATCCCTTCAGTGGATATGCCATCCCTCCCCATATCGTTGCAGAAAGTAACACCCGCAATGATTTTTACCACCCCCAAAATTTAGACCACTTGCTTGGTAAAAGTAATAAAATCCTAGATACTGATCGTCAGAGCGATTTCGGAGAAATGCAAAGGGGAGTGCCGAATGGCAGTCTTAGTACCACTGAGAGTGGAAGGAATGCACCCCCCGTTAGAGGAGGTATCCGTGCGGTCATGGGAAGTGGCACAAATTTGGGGTTCCTTGCCGACTTGCACCCCAACCGAAACCTCATCAACAACAACATCAGCAACAACATCAGCAACAACATCAGTCTTAATTCCTGCAACAACAGCGTGGAGAGTTTGATTAATCTGACGAATTACTCCGACATGAGAAACGGCAGCAGTAATGCAAACCATGGTGGTCAGTGAAGCGCCAAATTGTGAAGGGGACGCCCATCTGAAGGAACGTATGTCTCCGTATGGAAGTATCCACAAACGAGGTGAAGCCCCTCTCCATGGTAGAAGCGGGACGGAACACACTTAACCATAATAAGGGCGCGTCCTTACGGCAGCACTTATTTTCTTTGTCCCATCATTAAAACGAAAAAAAAAGGAAATAAAAAAAACAGAACATAACATAGCGTAACATATCATAACATAGCATAACATATCATAACATCACATAACATATCATAACATCACATAACATACCAGCGTAGTTATTACGCACTACACCACTGAAACTTCCTGCGCACACATTCACAGGTGCCGCTTTTCCCTACATGGTGATCAAAGCTCTCTGAGGGTGTGTACTTAAAACTGGGTAGGGTTACTTAAAACCCTTCCAGGGAATTATTTTTTCCCACAACATTTTTTCCATATTGTATTTACCCCAATATGTGTCTTTTTGCAGCTATAACGCGAATTTGTATGATTAAAAAAGGAGTTTATTCCCCCCCTTTTTTTTTTACAACTCAATTTTTATTGTCCCTCCTTTTGTATTTTTTCTTTCCATTCATTGTTTCCCCTTTTTTTTGTTTTTTTTTCTAACCAACATGCTTAAAAGGAAAATTAAAATAACATACTACATGGACAACACATCACACACGGCATTTTCTTTTCTATTCTTTTTTTTTTTGTCATTTTAATTACAAAATTAAAATTTCAGTTTTGATAAATGTTAAAAATTGCTAAGGGTTATGGAGAAAGTTAAAAAAAGAGGTGAGTAAAACAAAAAAGGAGTTACTCTAAAATTGATTTCTAATCCACGCAGCTGCTTCCCCCCGTTACGCCATCTGCATCTGTTCGCGTAAAACAAACTATCACACACTGACCCAGGCTGTCCGTAGCGCCTATTGGAGGAACGACGCAAACTTCTCAATTTTCACTAAGGACCGATCGTGCGGTACGGAGGCTATATACCCAGCACAATTTCATCCATCTCTTCACGCCTGCAAAGTGTGCACCTTTTTTTTCGCGTGTCTCTCTGCCGCCTCCGCGAAATGGTGACGTGCATATATAACACGAGTGCATACGGACATTGTACACATTTGATTCACATATAAGGGGGATAAACAAATCGTGAGTTAATTTGTTGCGGCTAAATATCCATTCCATTCCTTTGGCCTCCTTTTCTTACCTTTCCTTGCAGTCCTTCTTCTTCCCCGCCTCATTATGGAGAACACAAACCCGTTCGAATTCAAAAAGGAGGACAAGCTGAACCTGGACAAGTACAATGTTCCTCCATACTTCGAGGAAGTCCTTTCGGAGTTCATCGCAAAATTAGTGAAGACACATCCGGACAATCCGTATCTCTTTGCGGTCAATTATTTTGATGATAAATTGAAGGAGCATAATTAACACCGTTTTGAATTCCCTTCTTGTGGAATTTTTCCGGATTTTAAAATCCAAGGGGGGTGCTTCCTCCTTTACCAGCTCAAATCATCATGACGTTCATTATAGTTTCGATGTTTATCTCTATGACGGACACTGTAAAGGGGAAGAAGGGAGGAGTTGGTAAAATGGAGCAAAGTTTGACAGACGTCACAAAAGAGACAGCACTGTGGGGGGAGCCGGGGTATCACAGAGAATATGCCTCACAATGGCATGCAGCAAGTATGGTACATGGGAGCACTTATCCAGACGGATTACCAACTAAATCACGATTAACGCTATCGAAAAACAACATCCCCTACCTGGAATGTCGATGGAGAAATTTTCCAAAACCTTCGGGTGAATTATGCCCAGAATTCCAAACTTCAAGTTGTGTGGGTACAAGACAATGTCAACTACTCGCTCGTCCAGGAAGGAGGGATCTGTGGAGAGTGATAATTTTGAGAGGGGGAAAAAAAAGGAAAGTATCATTTGGCAAGGAGAACAGAAGAGTAACCATCGCATGGGTTTGTGCAGATATCTGAACACATTCGCCCACATTGGACGATATGTACCGGTACAACGGCGCTTTCGCATTCATCGTGACTTCGCACATCCGCAGACCAGGTGGTGGTCTGCGGGCGCTGGCCCGTGTCCCCGGAGCGCCTTACCCTTCTTAGGCACCAACTTGTAGAATACGTCCGACCGAATGGCCACATTCTCCTTCCTCTTCTCATCAATTTTGTAATCACTGAAAAGCTGGAACTCCTTCAAAACGGTTTCTAATATTCCGTGCGCTTCCTCCAGCCCGGCCGTGAACTTATCGGCAAAGATAACGGACAAGTACCTCTTATTCACAGCGTTGGTATCCGTTTTGTTATACGTGGTGTACGAAACATCGCCAATTTCAAAGAAGCGCAGGGGAAGTTCCCTGTGCTTATTTGCAGACACGAACTTTAACATATTTACAATTAGAGATGTCCTAACAATTTCGTATTCTGACGTTTTGGAATTCATGATTTGAACTGGGGGAACCAGGGGGTTGTACTCATCCAAGTTTATCTTCTCGTCGTCATAGTCCCTATGCTTCCTCAACATGCAGTCATAGTTTTCCCTCTTCGATAACAAAGCACTTGTCATCACCTCTGTGTAGGTACACTCAGCCAGAACATTCCTAAATAACTCTGTGCATGCACTTAGTGAATTTTTTGTTGCAATTTGAACTTTTTCCGATAAAATATTTCTATACCCGTATGCGATGGCTATATCTTCGACAATATCACAGCAGTGCATTATATCTGATCTGTAAAACGGAACATCCACAATGAATGTGCTGCTATCAATAATCTTCGACGATATCAACATTTTTTTTAGCAACGGTTCGACATCCTTCACGGAAAGGTCTAAAATGCCGGACAATTTTCTCACATAGTCCATATGGCACGTCAAAGACTTGTTCTTAAAAACTGGGTACAAATACCCACTCCCCTTTTCCGCCTTATGTTTCTTATCATACTGGACGAAGAAGGAGTGAATGGCATACTTTGGCGTGCAGTATTCTGAAAGCATGGAACAAATCATGTTAACAGCTATTTCGGCTTTGTTTTTATCGATGGCTGTGCATTCAATAAATAAATTCTTCGTGTCGTACGTAATTTTTGTATGGTCACAATTGATAATTGGGGGAAGCGATAATATATTATTGTCTGCATCGACGATGACTGGGAATTTCTCAAAGTCGCTGATAATTTTTAAATAAGATTTTAAATTTATATTGTCTTGATAAAATTTTAGGAAATTATTTCCATTCACATTTTCCGTTTCGTTCAGAGGAATAAAATTTATTTTTTCTTTCTCTTCAAATTTATATGCTACAGGAAACTTTATCTTGTCATAATCGTGAATTCCTATCGCCAGCAAGACTCTTTTTTTCCCCAAATTATGGTGCAACTTTTCTTGCAACTCTATAATGTTATTGTAAACATTTTCATTAATTTTTACATTTTTCAAAACGGCGGAAATGACGTAACTTCTCCGTTCGTCCACCGATTCGTCCACTCGCATGACGTGCTTTTCCTTAACACAGGCCTCTTCACTATTTGTTAACAGGACATAACTGATGTTTTGATATTTCCCTATAAAACTTTTCAGCGCTCGACATAACCCCTCCACGCATACCAAGTCGTACCGGTTAGCCGGCACTTCAATTTTGTAAATCTTTTTTTCGCCTTTGTATTCTATGTCGTCAATTTCTATACCGAATTCGAAGCATATATCATTCAGTTTTTCCTCCTCGATTTTTTCACCCAGTTTTTCTGTGAGGTCCTCTTCGTACACGGAAATTGTTGGCATTTTGTCTCTTCACAAAGACTCGACACGATCGTACATATGGCAATTCTTCTATATGTTGTTACCCTAGTCGGGCGTCCTCTATGATCACAAGTAATTCGTCCTTTCCTTGACCCCTTAAAACCCAGTAGGATGGAGGTATCTCCTTACGGAATGGATCGACTTTGGCGCGCGAGCACAGATTCTGCTTCCCCAGTGGCATAACTGAGTCTGCATTCACTTACCCACGTGAATAAGCTCTTATGACACTCCTCGGTAGGATTTGTCCTCTCTACTGACGAAAACTCTTTCGAAAAATTGAAAACTTGGGTGTTTTCTCCAAATTACAGCGGGTAAGATGGGCTGCGAGTGTCCCACCTAGGGCCAACTGCCGCTTGGATGTCCACGAGGAGTTCTTCACCACGCCAGGTAAAGAAGAAGGCTATACAAAAGCGCATCTGTAAGTACATAAACTCCTTGTACGCATAGGCACACGCATTATTGCGGTGATTTATCTGCGTACCTGTCAATCACGTAGGGTATACTTCCCCCTATTTAAAAGGAGGAAGGGGTAGATTCTGTTGTGAGTCAATTGGAGGATATGCTCTATTTATCTAACTCCATTCAGGTTGGATAATTCGCTAAGCGATTTAGGAAATTGAGTTGCCTTTTTTGGACTGCCTCGACCCCTTAACATTTTCGTAATGTACAGAATTGTAAGCTTGTCAATTATTCTGGGATTGATCTTTCTCCATTAGGGGTTCCTATCAGATGTTTTTTTTTTTTTTTTTTTTTTTTCTCATCACACGTTTAACTCTTACATTGCAAAATTTACGAATTGATCATTTCTTTTTTTCTTTTTTTTTGTACTTTCTGAACTTCCCCTTTTTTCTTTTTCTTTTTTTTTTGTTGTTGCATTTTTCTCCCTCCATTTTGGCAAAAAATAACAACACACAAGTTAGTCCAACGCTTGGTGCAAGTGAGCACGTGGTGGCGTTATAATTACTTACTAGAGTTGGCTGGGCAACAAATTTTCACTCGCGACGCAAAAGCAAATGATAATGCAAGTATGACTATGAACTGGACGTCCACTTTAGAGTATGCCTCCCCCGCAAAACCCTTTCTTATTTGCCATCCTAACCTACATCTCTACGGTGGTAGAATGTCCCCTTTTTTGTAATACCAAGGGGGTGGCTCTTCTTGATGCATGGAAAGGAAAAAAAAAAAAA